TTGGCATTGGAGACGTTGGGGGTAACTGGTCTGACTCGCTGTGAGAATAAAAGCTGGTTTTATTCCATCGATGGAAACTACAGTCTCTTTTCCTTTTATGTATAATGTGAATGTCTTGCCATCACGTGACACAACTTCATAGGGTCGATTGTATGGAGGCTGTAAAGCAGGCGTGTCCAACCTTTTTGTTTCTATGGGCCACATTGGAAAAGGTCAAGGAGTTTTGGGCCACAAGTATATATAATATATACTTGTGGCCCAATATATAAGTATATTTAATGACTAACATGTCTAGATTATAGTAATAAGTATTAAAACTTTATCACGATAAAGGATATTTTAAAAAATTACTTCTACAGACATTTTCAATTTTTACTTAGAAATAGATAAATTAATTTATTATAAAAGAGACAAATGAAAATTTATTTGAAAAAAACAGATATTTGTTTTATTTGGGTCTCTAATTAATAAAATGCGATAAAACACCATTTTAAAGTGCATTTTTATTCAACTAATCTATATATATAAAAATGAGTGTGTGTGTCCTTCATGCATTACCACACCGTTTATCCGATTGCCGTGAAATTTTAAGAAGTTGTTTAATATACTCCTGTGAAGGTTTCTGGCGTAGTACGATTGCCATGAAGCTTTGGAAAGTTTTTTAATACACTCCCGCAAAGGTTTCTGGCATTTATCCTACGATAGATGGCATGCGTTTACACGAGCATTCGAGCAGTGTGTGTTCGATCGATTTCAAATTGTGAAGACCATTTCCCCCCTTCAAAATATCTCTATATATGCATTTGTGAACTGTTATTTACGATATTTGTAATAATTTTTGTTTAATCACTTTATTTCAACTTTTTTTTTTTGCTAATTATGTATTCGCTCGAACTTTGTTAAAACCTTAACTCTACCCCGAACAACAACTGAACTTGTAGGAAGAAATTCGTGTATTTTACCGATGTAGGTATCCCCCCTTTTCCAAATTTTAATATTGACTCAAGATAATTTAAAAAGACAAATTACAATAAAACGGTTTATTATCCAACTATCAGAAATTTCACAACATGCCAAGGAAGAGAGGAAGGAACAATTAAATAATTAAAATTATAAAGGATTAAAAAATATATATATAAAAATGGGGAATATCACACTTCTGACAATCGCTGCAAGTGTATGGGCTAAATTTGGAGAATCCGTGCTTCTCGCATGGACAACTGTATGTGGCCGGCTCACGCATCGGAAAACCTTCTGATTTATTCGTGTATGCACCAGACAAAAAAACAAAAAATATTGTGTATCCACAAACACTCCAATAAATAAATAGAATTGAAACGACACTTTGAAATGTTTTCCCGATGAAAATGAATAATAATAACAAGTTTCAATAAAAATGATAAAATGTAAATTGAATTTTATCATAACGAGTTTGCTTGAATTTCCTTTCTTCTGAGATTGCAGCAATGCGCAACGGGTAAGCTAGTATATTTATAATATATAGTCCAAAAAGTAGTCAAAGCACCAAATGTTATTTTTTACATCAAACTAAAAAAAATAGCCACATTTGGTGCAATGTAGCCAAATCTTGCAAAGCTGGAAGGAATTGTCAGAAAGTTTAAACTTCTTAAGTACAAGTGTGAGTCACTTGAAGTCAAGAGAGACTAGAGCTCAGGATCTTGCTGTTGGTCTTTTGCAATCTTGCTATAATCTAGTATAGATAGGTTGCTAATTGACTCAATACAGGAGAGAGCATCAGCTGGAACATTATCGATGACCTTTATGTGTCTGATGTCCATTGAAAATTGTCCTATAAAGTCGAGATATGTCAACTGACGAGGTGTACACTTATCATGTTGTTGGTGAAAGGCAAACGTTAATGGTTTATGGTCTGTATACAGTCGACCCCCCTATAAGATCATAGATACGTTCCATTCTTTAGGAATCCGATTTCTTACAAGTCCTTCCAATCACAGCCCGACACGTGTCAAGTTTACAGACTACAGCTGATTGAAAGGTTTTCTTCCATAAAATTAATCAATTCTAGACTAATCCGACTCAACATTTCCAAAATACGTATATTTTTTTGGAAATAATCCGTATAAACTACGCTATAAACAAAAAATTGTAGGATTACTTACCGAGTGTGCACCATTCGACATCGCCATTGTTCAAGCTTGTTTTCGTCGCGGAACAGCTCAGCAAACAGCGGCCGATTTCTAATAACTTATTTTTCTGCGAAAACTTCGTTGAACTTTGGAGACATCATTAATATAAATAATTTTAATCGCCGTTGAATAAGAAATGTTTCTTTCACAAGAAATGTATAAAATTACAGTACTGTATTAGACTTACGGTACCTAATTTACATACTGACAGACGATAGTTAGCGTAAAAATCTCCGTAGCGTGGCGCCACGCTAGACGGCGGAAATTATATATTTAATTATAACAAAGTTACAATAAGTTAATATATAATTATATATACAGTACCTAATTTATATATAATTAATATATAATTATATGTACAGTACCTAATTTATATATAATTTATATATAATACTGTACAGACGATAGCAAACTCTCTGTAGCGTGGCACTTGACAACGGAAAATAGTTCAGCTGCTGATGACGTTTCACGTAATTATAGGAGTTTTTTTTACCTTTTTTTACGGATACTGTCGCAATTTTTTCGCAGTTTTATAGGAATTGTAATTATAGGAACCGGTTTTATAGGGGGGTCTACTGTAAACTGTTGTGCTTCCAACATAAACCAGAAATGTTTCACAGCCAGAAGTTCTCAGTCGTATGCAGAATACTGACGGTGAGAGTTACTCTGCTTGCAAGAAAAGAATGCAAGTGGCTGGAGACCTTGTGTTGTAACTTGATGAAGGGCAGTGCCCACAGCAGAATCAGATGCATCAATGTGCAGTGCAAGGGTAGCACTTGGTGAAGGATGGTGTAGTAAGGTGGCTTCTGCTAATTGTGATTTACATGACTCAAATGCCTGAATCAAATTGTCAGTCTATTTAATTTCATGGTGATTGTTTTTCTTTGTTCCTATAAGTAGGTCATGTAACGGAGCATGGTAATGGACCACATAGGGTAAGAACCTACAATAGAAGTTCAAGATGCCTAAAAATCTTCACAGTTGTTTGAGGGTCTGTGGTCGGGTCTGTTGAGTTATGGCAAATACAGGTTCTGGTAGTGGCATAATGCCATGAGGAGACACCAAAGACACCATGGGCCGTATTCCGGTCACTGTCTCTGGTCACTCATCTCTCGCAAGCCGGTCGCTGATTGGCTAATCATTTGGATTAGCTAATCAGCGACCGGCTTGCGAGAGACGAGAGACCAGAGACAGTGACCAGAATACGGCCCCATGTATCCTAAGAATGATACATGTAGGGCAGCAAAAGTACACTTGGATGCATTGACTTGCAGACTGTACTTGTCTAGGCGTTGAAGCACTTGCTGCATGTGCATCTTATGTTCCTCCCATGAGGTGCTAGCGATGAGGATGTCATCTAAGTATGAAAAACAGAAGTTTATGCCTTGTAGAACTTCATGCATGAATTGTTGGAATGATTGTGCTACATTGCAGAGACCAAAAGGAAGGAAAACAAATTCAAATAGCCCAAATGGCGTCATAATGGCTGTCTTTGGCACATCATCTGGGTTAACTGGTATAAGATGGAAGGCTCTAACCAAATTTATTTTGGAAAATACTCAAGCTCCGTGTAAATTTTTACCAAAATCGTGGATGTGTGGCAAGAGATAGTGATCAGGAATAGTTATCCTATTCAGAGCACAATAGTCTCCAGTTGGTCTCCAATCTTACATATCGAGTCGCGATCTGGGGAGGCAGCAGAAATTTCAGCTCCTGTTTGGATTACGTTTTCTCGACTAAAATTGGATTTATTGTGTTGTGCCATATATCGCTGGATTCAGGGTGTAGAGAAGAATCGTTTGATACCAATTTTGTGGGTCTCCGACCTCTTTTTCAGGAGTTAGGACCGGACTAAAAGTCACCTTTTTCAGATCACTTTTCCGGTCTCCGGATGCCGATTTTCCGGATTGAATCTCAGGGGTTTAAAGGGTTGCCACACGTGAGTACTGTGGGTAATTTTGGTTAAATTGGCCCATTAGTTTTGGTACAATTTGCGTTTTTAATTTGAGTCGGGGCTTAGCGGGCTTTATCGGACTAACGGCAGGCCATCCGCTTTTTAATCTTCGTTCTTTAGTATGTCTAGGATTGCAGTAACATCTTGTAAAATTTTGGTTGGGATATTTTTACTAGTTTTTAAATTAGAATAAGTTAAAAATTAAGCTATAATTTTCGCTTTTCTCCAACTAACGAGCTTGGTAACGGTCGTTGACCTCGGCATCTGCAACGGTTTTAACGGCTTTTAAACGGCGTTTTAAACGTATTTAACTTTATTTGGGTTTTATTTAGTATTAAATTGATTCTAATTGCATTTATTTTATTAAACTTATTATTTTGGTTTTCATTGACATTTGATTTTGTCATTTTATTTTTATTATCATTATTTCGTTATTATTAGTGATTATTTTGCTTTTCGACATTTTGGCATTTTATTAATCCCTCACTATGGAAGACATAATGGAAGACCTTAGTCAGATAGGGGATATAACACAGGAAGGGTTACTTCAAGTGACTCTTGATGGCCAAACAAATGGTATAGAAGGGGAAGGCGATAATGTTAATGGCAACATAAATAATAGTGGTCCCAATGGGGACCCGCAGTGCCCAGGGAACACGGAAGAATACCTCATTAAAGAGGCGGCACTCTGTNACTTGGCAATTTTTATCATCAAGTTTTTATTTAGTTGATTTAGTTGATTTAGTAGTCAACTAAATAAAAACTTGATGATAAAAATTGCCAAGTGCCTGAAAATAAATACGATAATAATTTGTGTTTGAATTACTACTAATAACTACTAGCACGGTTTCAAAGTACCAGAATATCCAACTATTATTATGGATAATAACAGTGAGGAGAACATTCCTACTCACGCAATCTACACGGATGGATCTAAAACAAAAGACTGTGTTGGTGCGGCCTTTGTTCATTTTAACTCAAGGACGAAAACATTCATCCACAAAGAAGGCTTCAATCTTGCTTCATTCTGCTCAATCACCCAAGCAGAACTTTTTGCCATCTTTAAGGCCCTTTGTTATTTAAACCAAAATAAAAATTTGACAAGCAAAACTATAGCCATCTGCTCCGATAGTAGAGCTGCACTAATGAGCATCTCTAATTACAATTCTAGTGACGCATTGGTTCAACAGATCATCACAAAACTCGACAACACAAACAATAATGTGCTGTTTTTCTGGATACCAGCTCACACAGGTATTACTGGCAACGAGGAGGCGGACCACCTCGCGAAAGAGGCTGGTAAGAAAAGCACTAATCCGGACTATGACATCATACCAATGGTTTCCAGGAAAAGGTTGATTTGGAATACCTTGGTGCAAACTTGGCAGAGGTTATGGGACGAGGGAGAAACCGGCAGGCTTACTTACGGTTTCTTCCCAAAGATTTTGGACAGATTAGGGAATAGACACTTTTCGATCAACTTTCTCACTAGCCAATTGTTTACTGGCCACGGAAATTTCTTACAGTATTTGTGCCGCTTCAAACACAGTGAAACGCAGTATTGCAGTTGCGACAACACATCAACACAAGACTCTTTACATCTCATTTTTGACTGTAGACATTACAATCGCCAAAGAGAAAAACTTATGCAGACTGTTCTTCTAGAAGGAGCCAATTGGCCCTGTCGTCACAACATTCTTGTGAATAATGAAACCATTTACAAAGAACTTATCAACTTTGTGAACAGTACGGGCGCACTGGATCCTCGTTAAGGGTGACCCATGGTCAATTCCTTTCTATCTTAATTGGGATTAAGCCCCGATACCGACGGTGCCACCTTTTTGCACCTGGTTTTCGGTATCGTCAGGGGGCAGGATTGGCCATGGTGTATGTATGTATTCAGGTACACTATGTAATTATTACTTTTGTATAACGGGTCAACAAACTGTTTACTCTCACTTATAGATAATTTCTATTTAAATGTAGATTGTTTGTGTAACATTAATTAATGTATTAAGTAACGTATTAAAATTTTAATAGTGTTTATGTGAAAATTCAATTGAATTCACTTCTGGGTGATGATGGTTTTTTACAATTCAGAACAATAACTGTGAGATTAAAGTCTCTTCTAATGTTTAAAGCAGCAAATAAATTTCGCTGTTTGGACATTTTTCAGAGCGACAGATATTTATGATATAAAACTAAATTATAAATGTTGAAGTATTTTAAATAAGCTTTGTTATATTGCAGAATATTTATTATATTTAGTGGAGTCTTCGTCATAATGCATTTTTTCAAATATTATCAAGTTGTGTATTGTACATAAAATAAAGTTGTTAGTTACTTTTTTTGATTCCTAAAAAGTTGTTGAAGAAGAAATATTGTTTAAATAAAAGTTAAAATTATTGAATGGTGTGATATTTTTGTAACAAAATTCTACATTGAGAATTTTGACGCTCTCTAGTGAGATCTCGCAACTTTCTCGTAAATATTAACAAATTCAATGAAAAATTCTACATCTTCAACAAAATCTTTAATAATCATCTGCTGAAATTACAACAAATGAAAAAAAATGAAATTACTGAAATTTATTCGATATATCAATATGTAAACTTTTACAGAAATAAAATATAACATGATTATTTAAAGAAAGAAAACATTGATGTGTAAAATTTTGGTTTCTGATTTTTAATAATAAAATATCAGAGTTTAAGAACTTTGTAGTTTTGTCAGAACTAGAAGTTGTAAATATCTGTTAAACTAATGACACCTGATTACGAACCAGAAAGACTGAAAATGCTTATGGCAAATAAGTTTTCATTTAAAAGTTTTTGTGGTTTTTTTGTTTTGTATATTATGTGCAGCCTGCACTTAAACTTATTAATACACTACAATAAACTATGAAAGACAGATTTTAACTTATTCAACCAAGTTATTTCTAACTTTAGCTGATTCAAAATTATGAAGTATGCAATAAATACGATATCATTAAATCGGCTCTATCAGTGGCTGAATGGATAACAACACTGACCACTGATAGCCGTTTCTGGACAATTAGAAAACGTGCCTGTCTAATTGTCCAGAAACAATGTTCTGCCTAATTGTGATATGAATTAAATCAAAATATAAAAAATGACAGTACAATTAACAATGTAGAAGACGAATGACTATTCTCAAATCAAACGATATGAACAAGTACAAAACATTATTGTAATCGAAATGTGCAGAATTTGTTAGTTTTGAATTAACCTTGCTTAAATAAATGTCTAGCATTTTCTATTAAAAAAAAAAGTGTTCAAAACACGTCAATTATAAGAGGCACGAGAAATAAAATTCATATTTTCGAACAGCTTATACATATGTGTCTCACTTTGTTGTGAACATTATGCTCTATTCAGTGGAAAAAAGTATTTACACATTTCCTAATAGCAACTATCGCTCATTACAGCTCAAAGTTCCATTAATAAAGAAAGCAGCAGAACGTTGGCATGCCTGGAACGCAAACATTTTCGTAATATATTAACCAAAGTTTACTTACTACATTGCTCATAATAAATTTTACGAATTCTATAAAATCATTACAACAAAATCATCCATACATAACGTAATACTATTTTGTATATACAGTACTTTACAATTGTCACTTTTTTTTAATGTTGGTAGCAGAGGGCAGCCATCATCTAGGGTAAAAGCGTTCGTCGCTGTATAAGTGACATAAAANACCTTTGCTATTATACTCTCACCTTTCGAAAAGAAAAACAGATGCAAAACTTAACGAGTGCCTACCCGACAGTCTAGCGAATACATAAAAGAATTATTTTGTCAGAAAAATAAAAGGCTGGAATTACAAGGGAGAGTTTCAAAGTTCGGAGGAATACTATCCGATCGGTATATACCGGCTTGAGCGTTGATGCCGATGTTTCCCATACTCCGAAAAGTTTCGAATTGTTTCCCGAAGGCATGGGAAGACCAATCGGTATTCATTATTTTACATCGCTTCTTCTTGTATTTGTTCTGTGAGGTGTTCGTTGTCCGAACATAAAAATCTCTCGTGAAAGTGTTCGTTATCCGATCTGTTCGTTAACCGATCACCCACTGTATTTTGGAGCCAGGCTGGACCCACAGGCCCTTACTGTGGCTGGCTGCGCTTGTTTCCCCAATCAACAGTTTGGTAGAAGGAACAGGGCGAACATTTCCTAGCAGCTGATCCAAACTTATTGTGGTAGTAACAATATCCCTGACTACTGACGTTTTATCCTCAAGAGTGTGAACTAATGTGGTACCTCCAATTCAGGTCATGTCAGTTTCTCTCTTTACTACACTAATGGGGGCAAGCGGTACACGATATGTTAAGTTCTGCAACCTTCCTTGTGAGTTCTAAAATCTGTAGTTCAAGATTTCTGATTGCGGCATTTTTGGCTTCTAAGTTGATGCTGGCCAGTTGGGTTGGTTCTGTAAGTTAGGCAACCTTGTCAGCAAGGATGGCTAGCTTGTCTTGTTCATCGCCAACTGTCTAAATATTTTTGGGGAGACGTTGGAGCCACAAGTTTCTAAGAAATTCTTTGGTAATCTTGCCCGCTGAAAGCTCCCTTTTACAGAGTAAGACACTGGGTTTCTGATCCCCTAATCCCAGATCTTCAAGCAGAATTTTAGTCTCTTTAGCATCAGAGTTCTGGAAAATTTCGAGGAATCAATCTTTGAGTTTAGAAAATGGGGCCTTGGCTGGACAGTCAAATACTAAATCACTGACATTAGATAGAATCTCTGCAGCCAGGGAATTGATTAAATAATTGTACTTAGGGTTCTCACTTGTAATCCGATTAATGGCAAAAGCCATATCTAGCTACACAAAAAATAACTTAATGTTGGTTTTAGTGAAGATAGGCATTTTTGCCTGTACACATCGAATTTCTGGCTCGTTCTGTTCTGCCATTCCAGGCGCCTAACTATGCAGCTTCAAGGGAAAACATGGGATAATCTTGGATTAGGCTTAGCACGAGTCACGTACTCCTAGTCTTCTCATTGAATTTATGGTTCAGAAACTGATCATACCTGCATGACCTGTAAAAAAGTTCCTTCATAGGCACAGAGTTGTTCGACATTCGATTCAGTCAAAAGTCCAGGTAGTTCATTAATCAGATGACATTCAGGTCACCACTTTGTCATTCAATCCTACAGGCACACACAAACAGTAACAAAAGAACAGCTCTGAACTTATTAAAATAAGTTCAGAGCTGTTGTCTACATCTTCAGACTACACACAGACAACTTAATGAACTTTTACCCCTTTTTTCTTTTTTATATCTGTTGCCAGCCAACAACTCGTTAGAAGTGTTGCCAGACCATGTTCACGATCTCTGGCACTGGCGGCTACAATACTATAAAAGCTGTATGTTACAAATATATTACAAATAAAGATATTACAAATGAACTGCTGAAACTGATTCTTTCTATAATGTCTGATAAAAAAATGTTCTATAGTTTATACCAGTGTTTCTCGACCCGTGTGACATAATATACTTGTGTGTCACAGCACAAGTTGGGTGTCTCAAGTTTGTCACAAAAATATTAAATTTTTTTTTAAATTTTGAATAAACTCTTTTTCAAATTTCACTTATCTTTCATCTTTTTACTGTTGGCCAACCAAACAGAGAAGGAAGTATTCATTAAAATGCTGATTGTTGTAAAATTTGCAGCATCAGCATACCCCTAACGAAAGTTGCATGAATCTGTGTACACTGGTGTACAAACTCTTTGGAGCATCTATAAACATTGTGGCTTACCAGCTTAAAAACCAATACTAGCTCTCTCTAAGTGAAAGCACCCAAATAATAAAGGTGAAAGTTCAAGAAAATTAAATATAAAAATCTAACAAATCTTAAGAATTTTTCCTAAGTGAATTTCTCCAGTGATTATCCTAATACAGGTAGCCCTCGGTTTATGCCGGTTCAATTTACGCCGATTCACAATAACGCCGCTGCGCAATTCGCCGGTTCGAGGTGTTATTCCCCGATTTTCCTTATGCTAGACTGATTTTCGTTTCAGTATTGACATATTTACCGAGCCGCGACATTGTACATT